CCAATTTACTCCAAACTTACTGGTCTGATTATTTTGAAATCTGGTACACATAATGTGTTTGTGTGACCAAAACATGTAACTGATCATGGGTTTTATCACCGTTTTGTAGAGCCATAGTGTTATCTTGGGTGAAAGTCCCCATTGTTTACCTACCATCCTATGACACTGCCAGAAGGCGATAGTAGTTTTCTTAATTTTGTATTGAATCATTAATTAATTAGTTAATTAAAATCTCGGCGTTTTGCGATAAGACATTTTGGTGAATACGACGAAGTGAAATGCCGGTGTAATATGTTAATCGATATTAAAGTTAAATCAGCGGATGGCGCAACACTACTTATCTTGCACGTATGCACATTATACGCACACAGATGTATTTTTGTTTTGGTCTCGTCTCCAATACTTCAGGGCCAATCTATGGATATACTAAATCTATGCTTGGCACCATAAAAAAAACGCATGGTATACTTCGTAAGTTGTATAAAGCTAATATCAGTATTTAATTTAAAGGCATTTTATTATAGAAAGCACTATATTTTTACAGATATTTCAACGTTCAGTGAAAGATATCACGATGTGTCCTTCTGAAGCATGTCCAACTGGGTTACCTGTAATAATAATAAAAAAAGATTATTCACATTATAGTTGCGTATGTACTCGTGTTCACATCGCTAGTGAGTGGCAGTAGAGGTCTAGAGTTCCTCCAGCAGAGTACTGCTACTGTACCTATTACTGACATCAAGCACGTACTTGGGACTTGTCAACTTTTGGCTCGGAACGACGGTGACGGGTGTAATGGCAGTTCGACCGCCCCTCTGGTTTTAACTGTTGTCGCTTACCACCAGGCGCAAGATTCGTTCGTAGTCTCTTGGCACCATAAAAAAAACGCATGGTTGGTATCAGACATTGGTACGTCGTGTGTAGATGTGCAGGCATACCGCACCTACCAATCTGTCAATTATCTAATTTCTTTAAAGCTAATAATAGCTCACCTTTTGATTTCGAAGTGCTTTTATCCTCGTGTCGTCTAATTATTATATTTGTTGTAGCCTTCTTAATTCCATTACGAGTTGTATGGTACGAATATTATTCCTTAATTTTTTTTATTATAACGAATAGTAGTGGATTATTACTTATTTTGAGTAATCCTCTTTCTTATTTTAGGTGTATCCTCTCTTATATTGAGTACATCTCTTTCGTGTTGTGGGTGTATCCTCTTTCATATTTTGCATTGGTACTGGTGAATATTCTTTCTTTAAGTAGAAGACAAAAAGAGCGAGTCTTATGTATTCTTTTAAGCTTTTCTTTTCCGTTGATAAGTTGTTGTTCTTCTGGATGAGTGTTCTTCCGTCATTTGGGAGTCTGCTCTCTTAGTTTAAAACGAGTGTTTTTATTTTAATAGCATTAATGATATTTTCCGATGTTATTTTTCGTTGTTTAAAGACCTTGTTTAAACCTTGATTACAAATTTTTAACTTTACTTTGTTTTGCTTTAGCGTAGTAGCTTTCTTCTTTTTTCTATGTTAGTTATCGTCATAGATCGCTTAGGTTCTTTCGTTCAAAGTTTTTATTATATTTTCTTATCGTAGCTTTTATAGATGTCCTTTACACAGCCACTCGCCATTGTTTCTTCTTCGTCATTACCGCTTCTGATCTTCACTTTTCTTGCCTTATCCGCGCTTTATCTATCTATGCTCATCATATAATTTTCATTCATTCATTTCATTTCTTGTCTCTGTCGATAAAACATATTCTCTTTAGAATCTAGTAGTTTTTTCCCAGTTTCCATATTTTATCTGTTACTTACAATTGTGTGCAATTATTTTCTTTTCATTTCTCTTCTTCGCGGTAGCTCGCCCGAGTTTTTATTCTTCAATGCTGTAATCCTTCTTGTCCTTGTTTTAAAATCTTCTTTCTTCTACTGCGTCGCTCTTGAATCTTCTTTCTTCAAGGTAGTATCCCCTCTTTGTCTTTTTTTCTCTGACGCCACAACCCCCGTCCTTTTCTCCGATGCTTATTTCCTTTTCTTATCCGTATTTGTCTTTCCTGTTTCTATTGTTATCCCATTTTCACATTATTGCAACTTCTTGAACCATTCTTTGCTGTCGTGCTCTTTTAAATTGTAATCTTCCATCTTCCTTGCCGCAGTCCCTCTTGAACCTTCTTTCTTCCTCGTCGCAGTCTCTCTTGAATCTTCTTTCTTCCTCGCCGCACTCCCTCTTGAATCTTCTTTCTTCCTCGCCGCAATCCCTCTTGAATCTTCTTTCTTCCTCGCCGCAGTCCCTCTTGCATCTTCATCTTCCTCGTCGCAGTTCCTCTTGAATCTTCTTTCTTCCTTGCCGCAGTCCCTCTTGAATCTTTCTTCCTCGCCGGATTCCCTCTTGAATGTTATGTATTCCTCTTGAATGTTCTGTATTCCTCGCTGCAGTCAGTCTGACTATTCTTTCTTCCTCACCGCAGTCTATCTTGAATCTTCTTTCTTCCTCGCCGCAGTCTTCTTACTTCTGTGCCGTAGTCCCTCTTAAGTTTTCTTTCTCTTCCTCCGTAGCTCCTCTCGAGTCTTCTTTCTTCCTCGCCTAAGCCACTTTTTCGTCTTCGCAATAGCTCCTCTTGAACCTTCTTACATCGTCATTGTCCCCGTTTCGTTTCTTTTATGCCGTTATCTTTGACATAAAACACTTTTTATCGTTTGTTAACAATTTTGTTGTTCGCCTAAGCAGAGTTTTTATTTTATACTGTTATCTTTGATATAAGACAACAATATTTAAAAAATGTTGGATGTTGACTGTCGCATCCTAAGGCATCTTCTTTCCTCCTGGCCTTACTTTCTCTTGAAATCTTTTTTCCCCTCTTGCGTCTTTTCTTTTCCTCGCTGTGGATACTCTTGAGACTTCTTTCTTCCTCGCTGTGGACTCCTTTGAGTCTTCTTTCCTCCTTGCCATAGCCCCTCGTGCGTCTTCTTTCTTCCTCACAATAGCCACCTGTGTGTCTTCTTTCTTTTTCGCCGCAGCCCCAATAGCGCCTTCTTTCTTCGGCGTCGTAGCCCCATTAGCGTCTTCGTTCTTCCTCGCTGTAGCCCCCTTCTTGCGTCTCCGTTCTTCCTCGCAGTAGCCCCCCTCTTGCGTCTTCTTTCTTCCACGCCGTAGTTCCTCTTGCGTCTTCTTTCTTCCTCGCCGTAGTCCCTCTTGCGTCTTCTTTCTTCCTCGCCGTAGCCCCTCATGCATCTTCTTTCTTCCTCGCCGTAGCCCCTCTTGTGTCTTCCTTCTTCCTCGTCGTAGTCCGTGTTGAATCGTCGATTACTCGTCGCCGTAACTTTTCTCTAGTCTTTTTCTTCTTCATTGTTTACAGAACTTTAGTTCTTTGTAGTCGTATTCGTAAGAAATGTTTCCTCTTTGGTCCCTAAGTTCTCCCACGCAGTAGCCCCTTTGTAGTCTTATTTCTTCCATGCCGTAGCCCCTCTTGCGTCTTCTTTCTTCCTCACCGTAGCCCCTCTTGCGTCTTCTTTCTTCCTCGCCGTAGCCCCTCTTGCGTCTTCTTTCTTCCTCACCGTAGCCCCTCTTGCGTCTTCTTTCTTCCTCGCCGTAGCCCCTCTTGCGTCTTCTTTCTTCCTCGCCGTAGCCCCTCTTGCGTCTTCTTTCT